CATGTGCTTCAAATGCAGCAACATGGTGCTCGTTTGCACCTGATTTGCATATTGCAAAGGCGCTACCGAGCGGGGAATTCAGTGCTCCCATCCATCCTCGCTGCTTTTCCATCTCCTGTGCATATGCAATAATTTGTACTCTAAGAGATGTTCAGTGACCTCTTTTTTTTTTCAATGCGAGAAATGTTTTCATTAAAAATAAAACAGCAGATACATCAAGACATTTCCTCTTGTAAAGCCCCATGTTCTGAATATAAAACAGGAATAGCCAGTCCTTACAGAGCTTTCTTATCATGCTACACACCAAAAGTGAGAGCAAGCAAGAGGGAGAGGCAGGCTGGAATATTTCATAACACAGATAAGACAAACTTCTACGCAGGACTATGGACTATTGGGTGAAAACAATTTAAATCAATAGATTAATAACAACCACATCATCATCATTCTCTTTGCACCATTTTGTTTGACTCAACAAACAAAAAATACTGTTCTGCACAAAGGATATAACAATTCAAGTTTTTTGAATGCATGTGGTCCCTGTCTATAAAAAAACATGCAAGAGCATCACACCAATGCCAAAGGTTGTCCAGATTCAGGTTACCTGAAATAAATCTGCATTTTTTTTCCCTTCTTGCCTCTTCTCCCTGGCTACCTGTTCAGATGAGATACAAAGTTCAGCAACTCTCATATTCTAACCCAGTACTCAGAATTTCTGAGGACATAAACAGTGATAAGTCAATTTATAAATAATAGTCTTTAGTTTGAGCAGGACATGGGCAGCAAATTTATGAGAGGGTGCTAATGTGGAGTAGCTTGTGGATAATTTTTACAAGACAGAAACCTAGGACTTGACCCTATAAAGACAGGTGCTTGCTTTAAAAACTTGATTAATTCCACTGAGGAACCACTTATATGCTTAAAGTTAATCACTTTGTCTTAATATATGCTGAATCAGTATCTGAATGTAATTTAAGAAGAAAATTTGGAGCTCCATTTTTGGTAGCTATTTGCTGCAGGGCCCGCAATACATTCCTCTCTGGTTGAAGGTATGAAGCCTCATTTGCACTGTGAATATTTATAACTGTGAATTTAAATTATCTCTTTTTCAATAAAGAAGCTTAATAGGCTATGGATGGTTAAATCATTTGCCGGAAAATCCTCACAATGTGAGCACAAAATAGGAACACAAATATGGGAGCAGATTCGTGGCGGCGTTGGAAAGGGCCTGGGCACAATGCACAGCAGCTCCCTTGATCAGCTATTGTCTTCCTGGGGTCTGGCTAAGGTGGAACTCAGACAGCATGAAAATTATTTATTTCCTCCATTTTGTGTAGACCGCATTAGTATGCTGACACTAAACTTGTGGGCTCTGTTACGAATACGCCTTGTTGGTTACAAATTGCGTTGGAAGTATTCTGAAATGTTAGAGTTGGCTGAAGTATCAAAAAAAACCCTGAATTGTTAATATTTTTACAAATAGAAGCTGTCAGGTTTGTTGAAGATGATTCATAAATTCATACCATTCTTCATCTGATGGAATTCACTTCGCTGCCAAATAAAGGGGATTATAGCTCACAAGTCTCTGAATTTTCCATTAATTTAGGGTAAATAATAATTCAGCTGAAAAGTCATACCGCTAATTACTCCAATTTAAAGAGCATTTCAATTACCTAATTGAAGGACAGAAACAGTGCACTCAATTTAGGTGGTCAGTCACAGTTCAGGAATAATGAATTGTAAATGATTAATACAGAAACAGTCATAATCTGAAAATGATTCCTTTGAATAATCTAATGGGTAGCTGGCAACAGTGGCACTGGGGGAAATAATCCAGAGCAATCAGCTCCAAGAGGGTTACCAAACTCGCTTTGGAATACGGCCCTCGTGGAAAGTGCAGGTTTCCGCAGCATTTCCCCGGATGGCTGCGGTCTCCTTGGGAAGTCGGGCAGCTGTTGTGCTCCAGGCCCATTTACCCCAAATCCAGGCATTTTGTTTCCCTGGAGTGACGGGAGGCAAAGCGCCTTGGATCATCCAGCCAGGCAGCAAGGGCAGATCCGTATGAATTCATTGCCTGGCTGCTGCCATGCGAACACAGACACGGGTCCGGCTCGGAGGAACGATCCTGGAATCCGTGAGCAGCCCCGGCTGTGATGGGAATCCAGGAGGCAGGACCGTGAGGCCGAGGAAGGATCCCAGCAGGGGATCCTGGAGACGGGGCCGCTCCGGAGGAGGCTCCGCGTCCCGCAAGGAAAGCCCCGCGGCGCGGGCGGTTCCTCGCCTGTAAACGGGATCACTTCCAAGGGCTGCTTGAGTCCGTAATCAATTCCCCCTCAGAAGACGGCCCTGAAATGCAAATCCTGGCTGCTTTCCTAGGTTAAAAGAGGCTAAAACGGCGCAGAGGAAGCTCTGCATGCGGCCATTGGCAGGAGGGCTCCAAGGAGCTCGGCGGCAGCTGCAGAGTTTCCGCTCGCTCCCTTCTGTCTTTTGGCTTGATTTGTGAGCAGGAAAACTCCTCTTCCCTGTGCTAAGAGTCAGACCCTGCTTGTCCTGAACATTTTGTGCCAACCTCAGCTTTCCCTTGCGGTATGGGAACTCCCCTGCTGTACTGCAGAAGGGCACTTTGCTTTCCAACAGCGCAGACCCTGGGAATGTTGTGGATGTATCGGATGTATTACGGATGCACTTTGCCATGCGATCCGTGAAGGTCTGACTTGCACCGGGGAGAGACAGGGACACCACAGCCCCATGCGAGCCTGAGTCAGCAATGCAAGAGGAGGACCTTCCTCTTCCCTCTTCCACCAACCCTCCACTTGCAGTTTTCATTTAATTTTCATCTCACCTTTCATTTTGAGTAGAAAAGAACGCTTTTCAGCCTCGGCTTACAGAAGCAGCAGCGTGTCTGGGACGATGCTCAGCGCTCGGCTCCCGCGGAGGGCAGTGGGACGGGTCCTCGGCCACCTGTGTGGATACAAACCCCGTCTGTGTCCGAGTTAGTCCCCCCATGTTCTTCCAGAGGGGCTGCTGGCGCTGCCCCCGCGCAGCCGCGATGGGGATCCATTTGACCAGGGCTGCGAGGGCCGGGCTGCCATCGCCGCGAGGATCAGAGCGGAGATGTCGGCAAACACCGCCCCGGAGCAGGTAAATCCACCTCCTGCAGAGCCTGTGGTGCTAAAGGGCCCCCGAGCCAGCTCTGAGGGTAGTTAATGGGAAGGTGAGAAAGAGGAGAGGGAAGGCTGTTACTGGGACACAAGTCACCAAGCGAATGTTGGCTGTTTCATTTCAAGCAAACCTTTTCTGAAAGGAAGGAAAAACAAAAATAAAGAGCACTTTTTAACTCTAACTTCCAACTAGAAATGTTCGACTTCCAAAATCTGAGCTACACGAAGAGGAAGCGCTGCAGTGACGGCCGCGGGAATGCATTTGCTTAAGCCACAAAATGCCCTTTCCTGCAAGTACTGTAAAACGTTGAGAAGTTTCAGTTTGTCATAACTAATACACTTGGAGCTACAAATCTTTCAGAAAGCATGAATCACTGTTTAATTCCAAATCCTATTTAACATCTTCCTAAACCCCTAAGTTATATAAACTGCATCTAAAAAATTATTCCGTATTAAAACGTGGAGACTGTTTCCTTCCTTCCAATACTCTGCAAATCTGATCTGTAATCCTTACAGGCTAAATTCAGCAAGGTAGAAAATAAGGATTCTTTGCATTTGGATTAGACCCTAAATGTCAAGCATTTCCATCACTTTATATGTGCAGAGATGATGTTAAGAAATAAAGTGCTCCAGCATATTCAAAGGCTGAGCGCAGTGTAATACTACTTTTTTAGGAACTCTTTGCAGTAATCTCTTAATTTAAGCTATAAAACTTGTTGTGCTCATGGAGGGCTCCAGTTCATGTGGGCAAGCACAGTTCTGTCGATAAGACTTTCAAAATTCCGTTCTTTTTACCAGTAGGTATGAAAACCAGAGATTGTTGTTATTTGTATGCGCTTTTCTTTGCTTCAGATTTTGTATAAATTATTTGACTTGGCAATTCCCAGTGATAATAAATTGTACAGTTTAATTACACGCTGCATGAAACTATTCCCATTTGTCAATTTTCATGTTCCCACATAAGAAGCTGTTTTTCCAACTTTTTTGAAAGGGGATTTTTTTTTACACTTTTATCTCAAGTAACTGCCAATCTTATCATGGCACATGAAGCAGTAGCTCCTGTCCTGAAGCTGCTGCTTTGCAGCCTCCCTGCAAATTCCTTTTCTCCCTTCAGCATTGCTGGTCCAGGCGGGACAAAGTGCTGGGCACAAAGAGGCGCCTGTTAGATCTCATGGAGGAACAGACGAGCGCTATCGAAAACTGGAGGTTTCACAGTGCCTGCACTAACCTTCTCCAGCGCGGGCACAGCAAGGCTTGGTGAAACTGGGAACGAGCCAAGGAAGCCCTCCGGGAGCTATACTCATAGCTGGTATCATGAATGGTGGATTAAAAAGAAGAACAAAAATCCCTCATTCGACTTAGTTAAATGTGTCTTCTTTCTCGCTGAATGTGCAATTTCATGCAATACCAAGGAACATACCCACCACGGGAAGAGAAGCCGTGTGAACCTGCTGTTTACCTCACCCAAGCTCTCACCCACACCAGAGTTCTCCTAATAGTTCTGATTCTAGAGGCCAGAAATTTCCTTTTCCATTACTGGGAGTTCCAGAGAAGCCCCAGCACAGGGAAAGGACCAAACTCCTCCTCCTCAGGGCTGCCCTTGGCATGGAGCGCCCAGCTCCACAGCCCACGGGCCATTTATATTTAAGCACCAATGGGGAGCCAAGTGCCAAGGCTTGGGACCACGGGGCAAAGCCTGCTGAGAACAGCAGAGGAACAGCACGGCCTCACGGTCTGCATGCAAAAGGTAAAAACATTTGCTCAGCAACAGCAGTTTTACTCTTTTTCCTTTTTTTCTGGGAAAAAAAAAAGAGTGAATTGGCACTTTTTGGGTGCACTGACCCTCGTCGCTGCCATGCTGCCCCATGTTTGGTCCAGCCAGGTCCCACAGGAGCCAGTTGCCATCTGGTCCTGTGTGCTCCCATGCAGGCTGCTCGGAGCAGTGACAGCCGCTGGAACGCGGTACGGAATGTACGGGCTGTGGTATGGAATGTGCAGGTTGTGGTACGGAATGTGCGGGTTGTGGTATGGAATGTACGGGCTGTGGTATGGAATGTGCGGGTTGTGGTACGGAATGTGCGGGTTGTGGTACAGAATGTGCGGGTTGTGGTACGGAATGTGCGGGTTGTGGTACGGAATGTACGGGTTGTGGTACGGAATGTGCGGGTTGTGGTACGGAATGTACGGGTTGTGGTACGGAATGTGCAGGTTGTGGTACGGAATGTACGGGTTGTGGTATGGAATGTGCGGGTTGTGGTATGGAATGTACGGGTTGTGGTACGGAATGTACAGGTTGTGGTATGGAATGTGCGGGCTGTGGTACGGAATGTGCGGGCTGTGGTACGGAATGTGCGGGTTGTGGTACGGAATGTACGGGTTGTGCTGCTGCACACGCGGTCTGCCTGTCGCGTGAGCCACGGGAGCGCTGCAAACGCACCGCGCTTGTCTCAGCTACGCCGAGAAATTTTCTGGTTGGTTTTTGATACCCCAGAGGCCCTAGCAGCATTTCTGACATAATTTGGCTCAGTTTTATAAAGTTCAGAAGGTTCCTTGACTGCTGGTTCCTTCATATTATTTAGAAACGAGCACGGCCAGTGCTTGAGGGGTAGCACTGCCACGAGCCGCGGAGCAATGCGAACGGTGCGGAGAGCGAAGCTGGCCTTTCCCTTGCTGTTTGCGGTGTCACACAGGTACATCAGGAGCCACCAAAGGCTTCTCATTTTTTTCCCTGTAAAGGCTTGATTATTTTTTCTCTCCTCTTCCTTCCATTTGTTTCTCTTTATTCTCTTCTCTATTCAGAGCACTTCAGAGCTATGAGCACCTTTTAATACTGGATCTTGAATATGCAACTTACAGTTCCAGAATTAACCTAGTGATTAATAATTTCCTGGTAATTAATGAATATGTATGCAGGGGGTGGCAGTGCTCTCTGTGATCCAGCTCACTGCCTCTGTGTCTCTTTCTGCTTCACGCTAGAAAAGCAGAACACATTCAGTCATAAAAATTAGGGAAAGCCATCAGAGATGTTGTACAAGCAAATCAATGCATTTCCAGCAGATTACGAAGCATGTCCTGCAGATCACTTATATTTAGAACAGTAGGAAAATCCCTTGCTGCGTCTGAATGATACCAAATGAACGAATCAGTTATTTGGATAAAATGTGATGGAGACACCACTGCTACATCCCACCTGTGAAGATTTAACAGTTATGAATCTGTGGCAGGGTCTCTGATGGGGCCCATAGAATCACAGAGTCACAGAACGCTCAAGGTTGGCAGGGAGCTTTCGAGGTCACCTAGTCCAACCCCTGCACACGCAGGGACACCTAAAGCACGTGGCACAGGACTGCGTCCAAGCGGGTTTGAAGATCTCCAGAGAAGGAGACTCCACAACCTCTCTGGGCAGCCTGTTCCAGGGCTCTGGCACCCTCACTGGGAAGAAATTTTTCCTTAAGTTCCTGTGGAACTTTTGGTGTTTCAGTTTGTGGTCATTGCCATCATTCCCAGGCGGTTGCAGCTGGAATCCGGAGGTCCTGCCCTGCGCTCTTAGCACCGCGGTGGCCCAACTCCCGGATCCGGGAGCGCAGCATCCCTTCCTGCAGGGACACGGAGCGGGATCCAGCTCCTCTCCGGCCGGCCGGGCTCGGGGGAGGCTCCGACACGGGCTCCATGGGCAGCTCCGCGCTGCTGCTCCAGCCTGGGCTCCATGGGCAGCTCCGCGCTGCTTCTCCGGGACGCCCGCGTGCCCGTGGCCAGCAGATAGCGCCCAGCCAAAGGGCTGCCCACGAGCTAATTGAATCCGGCGCCAGTCTCGAAATGCACTTGTTCCTCCTAACAGCTCCCTTGGTTCTTCATTCACCACCATGCTTAAACTCTAATGACACTGGTTGCTTTGAGACTTCAAGTAAGGAAATTTTAATAAAAGCTTGACTTGATGTTATTCCACTACAAGCTCTGCGCTGAATTAAACATAAGGCAGAGGAGATATGTTGACAGTACCTCAGCATGAAGTTCTGCTGGCCAGAGCTGAATACGGGTAAATAGTTTTATGTCATTTTCCTTAAGGCTCATTTCCAGCTTTCAATCAATCTTTCATAAAACATGGCTGAAGTGCAAGTTGCATTATCATGGCCAGTTGTCTGAAATGTGTGGGTATTGCTAATTTGGAGAAATGAATCACTTGTCTTTCTCATTTTGTCATTAAGGTGTTAGCCTACACTGAAATATAGCCAGAATATAGCATGCCTAATGTACACAGCACAGAAAATGGATACGTGATAAAAAATAATAGCTAAATAATCTATGCAGTCCACTGACTGTAGGTGTGACTGAGCTGTAACTTTCTGCAAGTCTGCATCTCTAATACTACAACTTTATTCCTTGGTAAAATTACATATTTACCAGACAAAGTAAATGCCACAGACTTGATCTGTTTGGAATGAAGTGTGCAAGGGCGCTAAGTTGAGAACTATCATCTCTGCTAAAGAAGATGCAGATACGCACAGGACCAGAAGTGGCTGGAAGATTGGCTGGAGGAACTGGCAATGGCCGGTACAGAGGAGTTATTAGCCCTGAAGCAACCAGAGAAGCTCTTTGAGGGTTAGTCCTGCAATCACTCAGCACTTTCCTTAATGAACTGCAAGAAGAGCTGCAGAATGCTAAGGAAGCGGCGGGCAGCGCAGCAGCGGGATGGGATGGAGACGGAGCGGCCCTGGCAGCAGGAGCATCCTGCTCCAGGAGGAGGAGAGGAGAGGAGAGGAGAGGAGCTGCCGGGATCCAGCGCTGCCGGTGTGCGGATGGCCCCGAGGAGCCCCCGGACCTCCCCGGGAGCAGCACCCGCTCCCAGCTCCTTGCAGGAAAGAAGCATTCCGGCTTGGGCAAGGCCAAATCACAGCGAACGAAGATCCTGCTTACGGGACCATCCTAAATGAGAGCGGCAAAACAGAGATGTAATATATAGAGCAGCTCAGAAATGAAATATAATGCTTTTCATGGACTGTTTATCTGTGAAAGCCTGAGGTTGCATTTGGCTGAGGAGGTCTCCCCGCTAGCATATTCCAGTTAATTTAAGCAACGCATTGATTTGCACAGTTGATAAATCTCCCTCAGTGCAACAGCATGCACTGTTACAGTCCCACGCGCAGGACAACAGAATTCCATGTCAATGGGACAGTCGCTAGGCTAAACGTTCTCGGCTGTTACAAGACCCTGGGAAGCTCATTTGGATTTTACCCAAGTGTCAGGACCTAAGTGTGAAGACCTAAAGACCCAGCGCTGCAGACACCTCAGCTCCGTCCATGCCCACAGCTGCCCCAGGCACCTCCTCGCCAGCAGGAGCGCGAGGGCTGCACATTTTCTGCAGTTTTCCCTGTGGAAGGCCTTTCCCAAAAGATTTCCACTAGGCTGTGTTAAACACGAATGACTTTTACTACTGCACAAGAAAGAGGTCCAAAAATACATTCGGTAGCGCCTAGTAATTAATAATCACAGCACAGGCTGGAGGCAGTTCAGTATATTAACTTGTTAAGGTGAAAGGAGGGAAAGAAAGGTGCTGACAGCTGTTATTGAATTAGGAAAAAGAAATCACAACATGGAAGTTCATTAACGTTTTCCATTTGACTTAAAAGGTTCTCTCCTCCCAAGGATTGAAACAAAATTGGTTTGAGGGGACAGTTTCACTGGGTTAAAAGCTATCTATCAAAAAGTTTATATTGCTAGCATTTTCTGGATGTGACTATCAGCCAGACCAAATTCCCTTTGTCACGAGACTGCACATCCGCACGCGCCTGACACGTCGTCCCCGCACAGCCCGAACCACGAGGGCTCCTCGGCGCCAGCTCGGGCACAGTGTGCCAGATCCCGGAGCGTGGGCCCTTCAGCACAGCCACTCTTCTGCTCCGGCCACAAAAGCCAACAGGAAAAAGCCTAAATTGATAAAATAGACTGCTTGTGATTTTGCAGGAGTTAGCGAAGCATCAGTCTGGGAGGAAGACGGATGATCCGCTCTCCCAGACAGGATAAACATGGTGATGGAATGGATGGCAAGAAAGTGAGAGCGATTTAATCACATTCACCCAGAGTCTCACTCACTCCCTCAGAAACTTTTCCCCTTTGCAGAGAGGCTCTGTGGCCTCCCTGGAGATTGGGAGACGTGTTTGAAATCGCAGCCCAGGCCCTATCGAAGTAATCAGAATTTCACATTGCTGAAAGTCTCTGGTTTGCCTGTTTGCTCAGTGGTACAGAACTGAACGGTCCCTTTGACTTCCTCCAGATTAATATTTTTTTCCTGTGGTCTTTCTAGCCTAGTAGTTTGCTGCCTGGCTGTAATAGTTTTTTGTATTTTTTTCTGTACTTTCAGAGGTGATAAATTGCAGTATATTAACATAATGACATAAAATTTGTTGCTATTAAAATGAAAATAAACAAACTTTAAAAGTAATTTAATTTTAAGTGGAAAATAATGGATACTATTGAAATGCCCAAACACAACTTATTACTCACCCCCCATCTACATTTTATTCATGCTTTTTCAGGAATTAAACAAAAATGAATCAAAAGGCTCTGTAAAAGCATTCTGAACATATGCTATGCTAATTGAATATTACAAAAAAAAATCTCTTAAGGCTTTAAAAAAAAAACACTTGTATAGGAGTTTATCTTCAGATGCTCAGAATTTTCTATCAAAATTTGCTTTGTTTTTAAAGTACAGTTTCTGCAGAAGTGATCGGGACCGGGATGTCCAGGGCCGCTGATGTGACACAGCCATGCCGGGCAGCTGCGGCTGTACCATGGGAGCAGGATGCTGTGGAATAAGGATACCAGCCAGGAAAACAAGCAGGTAAAGCACATGGAATACATCTGGACTGAGGAACTCAGCTTGTTAATATTTGCAATGTTTTTTTGTGAATTATTCAACACACGCACACACAGATAGAGTATTTTGAAAAGTTATCCCAACAGAGGATGGAAACAGAAGTTTTCCCTCTTGCTCTGGTGCTGGTATCGATTGCCTGTGTGCTGTCCTGCATCCCGTGTGTGCTGTGATGGTGCCGTAGCCCCGCAGTTACAGCACGTGTCCCGGGGGCTGAGGCGGGAAGGCTGCACGAGGGCAGCCCGCACTCGGTGACCCATAACCCAGCGTTTCCGTACCGCGCTGGGCAGGGGCTGCGCTGCAGTCTCTACCCTATCGCTTCCCTTTGGCGGCGGCCGTGGAGGTCGCTCTCACGGTGACCCAAACCCGGACCCTGCGGTCCCACGAGGACAGGGGACCAGGGGACACAGTCCGGCCTCAGGACATGCCAGGGCTCGCTGGTGGCTGTTTCCCCGCTCCATACATCAATTATAAATACACGTATGCACACACGCACACACCTGCACCGTCCTGGCTCTGGCCTCGAGACGTGCCAGGGCTAGCTGGTGGCTGTTTCCCCGCTCCATAAATCAGTTATAAATACACGTATACACACACGCACACACCTGCACCGTCCTGACGCAGACACGTTTGGCACCTATTGGTCTGCTTGTGGCCTGGGATCGTCCCCCACGTGCCGCAGCCCGGGGTGTCTCTGCCGGCGGGTCCGGGACCGCGGCCTCCTCCTCCTCCTCCTCCTCCTGCTCCGCTGCAGCGGCACCACGGGCCCGAGGGCAACGGAGAGGCCTTGAAACGCGGAGAACGGGGAAGCAAGCGGAGTATTTAGCTGCACGAGCAGCTGTTTTCTCAAGGAGTAAAAATGTACGGCAATTAAGAAGAGAAAAATACTGCTGCAAAAAATCAGTGGTGTACGTGGTTCACTGATAAGGTGTGATTTCTGGCTGCTTCTTCAGTGAGACCGCATCCCCCTGAGTTTTGGGATGGCGAAGCGGTTTTGTGATCTAGAACATCTTCTTTCCCTGGCCCTGCATTATACATGAAACAAGCTAAAATCCCTTTCATCCTGTGCGGCTGCCGTCCCCGCAGCCTGTCTTTAAGTGAGTTCTCCGTCAAGCCTTCAGGAAAAGCAACATTTGTGAGATCTTAAAGCACAAACCATTCAAGTGGATATTTCAAGTGGGATGAATGTGGTAGTAGGATATAAAAAATGATTACTTAAGCTTTGAAATGCTCTATGTTTTGATTTTTCTTTCCTAAAGGTCACAAAAGGTTTAAATGGTGAAGAATAAAATGACAAAGAAATGAAGTGAAAAAAAAAAAATTAAAAGCCAGTGTAGTAATGTTTTCATTTTTTTAAGAGCCAAGGACTAGATTTCAGACTCCACATGATCATTAGGGTCCCTGGCATTGTAGGCTGCCTACAAAGAGCCTGTGTTGTGACAGGGTTTGTAACAAAAGCTGAAGATATTGCAAACACAACGCATTCTCCCAGCATCTCCATCTGATTGCTGCTCTCGGCTCTGCATCTCCTTTCAGCTGCCACACCAGAAGAATCTATACATGCCACTAATGAATTATTAAAAATGGCTTTATAAAAAAATCACAGGAAGACCCTTAAGTTCAACTCTGCTGCCAGGCTGAGTGAATTCTGCACATTTCCAGAAGGGCAGGAGCATCGAGCTGCCCTGGCAGCAGCATCTTGTACTGCCACCACGGCCCTGACCTTTCAGCGTGTCACTACTGCCAGCGCTGCTGCCGTGACGGGGACATCAGCGATCCTGGCGCACGGTCGAGCTCTGCGTCGCACTCGGTTCCCTCTGCAACCCCATAATGGGCAAAACAGAGATTTTCATTCAGACCCGAAAGTCCAGGGACTGATGGTGTGAGATGCTCCTTCATCTCCGGGTCACACCGAACAAGCAGCAAGCAGCAGACGAGTTTACCCGAAATTCACCTGGCCTCTTTTCTTTTCTCTAAAAGCACCCCAAAAAGGCAGAGAAAGGATGCAGGGGTGTGAAAGGAGGCTGCAAGCAAGGAAAGCCGTGCTTTCTGAGCAGGAGAAAACGGCTCTTAGCTCAGAAAACGAAAGGACCCCAGAGGGAAACCCAACAAATAGTCACCCATTCTTTAGATGTATCGGCAGGAAGCACTTTGCAGACTGTTCTACAAAGCTGGAAATTCAGATTCTAACTGTGTCAGGGGATCTGAAAATCTGATTCGCGTTTTCCTTCCGTGTCCATTCCCGATGGCCCCCAGAAGGACCCCGGCATCCACCAAGAGATGTTCCAGCGGCACCGCCGGGAGGGCGGCAGCGCCCGGAGCCGCTGACCGCAGGGGAACGGGAAGGCCGGTTCCCGTGGCCGGGAACGCCGGTTCCCGTGGCCAGCAGGAGCAGCCCCCTTCTCCTTAGGGAGCTGTGCGTGACTCACCAAGGTCCAGGACTAGACGGCTCCTCAACAAGCGTCTTCACGGGTCTGCGGTAGCTACTTAGGGCACAAGCAGCTGATAAGCAAAAGGTATAAGGTGAGCGTCTAGGAAATCGTTTGTGTTTCTAATTTAATAAACTCAGATGTTTCAGAGAAAGGTACAAGATTGAAAACGAAGAGATTTACAGGTGCAGAAATGAATAATGCAGTTTGACAGCTGGAAAACAGTTTGTGGGGAGCGGAACATTAATTCTGTGTCTCATTCGCTTCCTTCCAAACACTGCGCCCCTCCCCGTGGTGCACTCAGGTTCCAGCAGAGATCTGCCCAAGGTGCAAGAGACAGCGCAATCACGGGAAGGGCTCAGCGTAATCCTCGTATAAATGGATTTTTGGATTCCTCCATGACTGACAAGCATTCTGCCTGTCAGAAAGGTACTTACTGATTAAAATGACTCAATATCAGCCGAAATAAAAGCGTCTGTTCTGAGCTGAGCAAACACACTCGTCTCGCTCGGGTGCTACGGCGTTAGCGAGGAGGGCTCCAGGCCAGGCACGACGTCCCACCCAGCTCATCCATTTCAGTTCTGCTGCAGATTAATCAATACGGAGTCGCGATCCACCTAATGGGGAGAGCAGTCAGAGGTATAGATCAGAGCAAAGGCCAATAACACATCTGACAACAGTCTGATGCACGTACGTCCGCGATCAGTTACACGAGGTGTCTCTTGTCACCTGCCCTCGCTGTGGATAGAGGAGGAGTCGGAAGATGCCCGTCCTGTCCTAGGGCTGAGGCCAGACACTGCAAGCGCTGCACGTTGCTGCGACAGGAGCGCGGCCCGGGCGGCACCACGGGGGCTCCCACCGCCACGCGCG